GCATGCTACTTGCTTCTGCAAGAAGATCCGGACTTCACAGCTCCCACGGTGCGGACGGCATTCACAGAGGCCGCCATTTTGTTCCATGCACCATCCGAGAAGTTCAATCCATCTCCTCCCTCAGCCTTGTTCTCCTTGACTATTTCCAGCAGCTGTGTGACGTCATGATTGGTCCAAATGGCTGTTGGCTTGCTTGCAGGGGGTACCGGAGCAGTCTGCTGGGTGTCAGACATGATGTAAAGCGAATAGAAGACAGGATGCAGGCAGAATGCAGGCAGAATGCGACACCTGCAACGTGACGCATGCCGGACGTTGTGTGGGGTCACAGCATGTCACTCATGTCACGCAATGTCACTTCAGGCATTAATCGACCCAACAACCGAATGAGCAGTGTTTTCTCGGATCTCTGCCATTTGGATGCTGCTATAGCAGCATACCCCACCAATAGCAGTTTTTTGCATCTGCTACCCTCAGTATTGATCTGTACATATGATGTGCTATAGCAATAGAAACTGACAGTTGGTGCCTACAAAATGTATATACTCAAATCATCAGCTAATGACCACTTCGAATGGGCCATCAGCACTATATCAATCTGTGAAGCACTTGAAGAGCAAGTAACAAAAAGCTGTGCACAAACACTGGGCTAGAGTTGGAATGATTAGTGCTGGTACTTACTCAGCTTATGTCATCTGTAGTGAGCCAGTCAGCAGAGTCTGTATTTCTTTCCCACAGGGTCGAAGCATCGTTGGGCGCTTGCCTGCAAGCTCCGTTCCATAAAGAACGATTTCTTCGTAAACTCATCAATTGTAACATGTTCAACATTGGTTGTAGTTCAGCAGGGGTGGACGACAAGATAGAGAATTAGAAGGGCATGGAAGATGTATAGGGCATAGCAGAGAATGGGGAGGACATAGAGGAGGGCATAGAGGAAGGCATAGTGGAGGGCATAGACAGGACTGAGGACATAGATGACACCAAAGAGACCGAAGACAAAGAGACACCAGGAGCAGACATAGAGGCGATGAGATGGGACTGAGATATGTAATTGCCAGAATGAACACATGTGTTATCCATAATTCCCTGGTCAGGCTGTCGTTTGGATAGCTATGGGAGAGATGAATATAAAGCGGGGTGACAGTAACATTATGAATATAAAGCAAGGCGATAGTAACATCAGTGAGTGCAAACATACCCATGGATGTGTTGATTCAATGCCTGTCCACGCAGACACATTGGTTGCCCATCAACAGAGTTAACCTATATTTATGCAGACATCAATTTGAGACATGCAGATCAATTGCAAACATTCTCGTACAGGATGGAAGCCTTCACAGGCCGAAAGAGTGCACAACAATTCACCACGAAGATATTCAAGAGTGATTGACTGCAAGGCAGGCTCCAACAGTGATGGGTTGACACCATGCTGGAACCATACATGGTTACAGAAAGAACAGACATTGGTAGGAAGGGTAGAAATCTACAAGGCAAAATTGTAACTCGGCGAACAGAAAGTACAAACAGAGCACAAACATGCTTGATGACTTGATCTGGAGCCTGAGGAGATGAAATGATCTGGATCCAGCTGCAACATCTGCAGCCAGAAAGAACACAGTGGATTCTCTGGTATAGAGTGGAGTGGGCAGACATTGCACTATTTATAGCAAAAGATAGCCTTTGAAGTTTGACAAGTGATGCTTACATAAGATCCTTGGGATTCCCAAGGATTCTCTGGAATTTCTGACACTGGATGCATGGAATTGCTTACATAAAATCCTTGGAAATCTCGGGAATTCCAATCATTTCTAATCAACAATGCATGGGATGCTCATGTAAGTGCTCGGGATTCCTGAGGATTCCCAAACACGAAAGTGAGGTACAGAGAATATCGTTTACCAGCATTGACTAGTTCCTCAGGATTTCTGAGGATTCCCAGACATTCTTAAGCGAGAGACCTATAGGCTCGCATTGAAGGTGGGCAGGAATGGACAGGAATCCTGGTGATTTCTGGAAATTCCCAAGAATTCTCTGGACGCTAGTCAAGTAGGCGCCAAGAATTCTGAGGGGTCCCAAGAGTTTCTGGGGGTTCCTGTGGGTTCCCGGGGTTCCCTAGAGATCTCAAGAGATTGTACAAAACAGCGGATAATGCTGCGGATTCTCGTTCAAAGGGGATCTTTATAGGGGGGAGTGTTGAGCTCTGTGTGATAGCGCAAGTTCCTGTGACCGCATCACAACTTTGCAGGAGGGTCACCAGAAGTGCGCCTGACTGATGCTCCAATTGACGTGCGGAGATCGCACGTCGTTCCCGAGTTATAAAATGTTTGTACTTTTGCCCAGTCCCAGGATTGATCCCTCACACTTTTGGGCGCTTTTGCCTCGTCATTTTTCTTTGTTGATTTTCAGCACCTTACTGTGTGCAGAACTGTACAGTTCTTTCCCGTGATGTAGCACACACTGCAAACTTCCCCCTCGTCAAGCTGTGGCGTCCTTATACTTCACAGAGCTTGACCTAGGTGGGTGTTATTGTTATCTGCAATACACCAGACTTCACAGACCTAGGCCATTGTGACTGATCTGAGGTGCCCTGCAGCCAACAGGGAGGGTGCTCCAGCGAGTTGTAGGGTCATGGTGCTGCTATGAGAGGGATATGCTTGACTGCACAATGTGTGGGGGGGGGTTGAAATAATGTTGGTGGGACGACTTCAAGCTCAGAGACGCATCAAATTTGCCAAAGATCTGCCTTGGCGATGATTGACCAGTTTCTGTCCGCAGGGGGTCTGGATCAGCAAAACAGTTCTGTGTCAAATTGTGCAGTGGCAACATACTCATGACGCCATCACAAGACAACTACATACTGATGTCCTGCGCTCCTTGACATGTGCTGGATGTTGATTGTGATCCAGGTTTCTGCTGCATATCTATATCCAACCCATACATGCATGGCAAGAACATCACGGTCGTAAGACCAGGTTTGCTTAGCATGACTGCCTACTGTTGGACAATCACATGGCCTGTGTCAATGCTCCAGTTCACACCGCCGCCTGCTCAAATGCATGCCTTTGAAGTTCGAACGCTTCATGTTGTATAACAACATGGAGGTGCTGAGCGATGGCGGGTGAATGGGCGAGATAAAGGGAAAGGCAAGAGTTACGATTGATGAGGTACAAAGAAATTCTTTATGCAGCCGGACACCAGCCAGAGAGATGTCACCATGACGTTGCCCCATGAGAAAAATGTTGAAACTCAGCTTACAACAGTAAGTAGCAGTATTTACTAAATAAGTAATGTTAAACACCGAATAAGCATCCATAGCACAGCCACCACTTAGACGCCGTTTTGGGCGCTTTTGGGCGTTTTTTTATGCGTGACATTACACTGTGACATTGTCACTGTTACTTCAATAACTTCTTACTATGTTGTGCTATCACCATGTATTATATATCATTCTGTTTGCATTTTGTAGCTCTATTTGAATGAATTACTCAATCAGTGCAATCAAGAGTAATTAAATCACCACATGCAGTACACTGCTGTAGCCAGAGATGTGACTTGATTCTGAGTCATGTGACTCTATGAGTCTATGTTGAACTTTTCTGGTTCAACTTCACTCTTGTCCAGTTCTTTCACCCTCCACCCACTACACCACACCATAAGTCAGATAGCCCCAGCCAGCGGCATTGCCCGCTACTGATCCTGTCAGCCCACACGGTCACATGCCTAGGTCAACGCCATGCTTCACTTCCCATGGTTCGTTTCGAATATAAGTCTGCACAGATGGGTGTCACTTTTCTCCCACCCTCCCCTTGGATGACTGTTTCTCTCCAGTGGATGGGTGTCTCAAGACGGCTACAGAAGACGCGGCCAACCCTCGATCCTGTTGAACTCTGTGCGATAGAGCTGAGCACGGATCTGATCCAGAGAGCTACAGCTCTCTACCTACGGGTAATGGTACCTTCAGACCCTCTGATCCAGATCCGTCAAAACCCAAACCTATAGGTATTTACTGTGGGTACCTACAGGTACCTATAGGTCTTTTTTCCAAGTATGCATATTTATGTGTTTCTCAACAAATCAAGTATGTTTGTAGAGAAGAATAAATTCATTTTCTTGATTCAGATCCGCACAGATCAAGATCCGCACTGATCCAGATCCACACTGATCCAAACCTACAGGTATTTTCACAGGTACCTAGACTGTTACGATTGATGAGTTTACGAAGAAATCGTTCTTTATGGGACAGAGCTTGCAGGCAAGCGCCCAACGATGCTTCGACCCCGTGGGAAATTAATACAGACTCCGCTGACTGGCTCACTACAGATGACATAAGCTAAGTAAGTATCAGCACTAATCATTTCAACCCTAGTCCAGGGTTTGTGCGCAGCTTTTTTGTTACTTGCTCTTCAAGCGCTTCACAGATCGATATAGTGCTGATGGCCCATTCAAAGTGGTCATTAGCTGATGATCTGAGTATATACATTTTGTAGGCACCAACTGTAAGTTTATATTGCTATAGCACATCTTATATACAGATCAATACTGAGTGTAGGAGAAGCAAAATAAACTTGCCCATATCGGGAAAGATGGGCTGTCTTTCAGTATTGGTGGGGGGCGCTTAACCATGCCTGAGGGCGTCTATACTACCAGATTAGATTGTAGTAAGGTTGCAACCTCAAAAGATAGCTGTCATTCTTTCTTATGTGATGCCAGTGCTGTTATTGTGTGTTGCTTATAGTTGTAACATTATACTTGCCTTGATACAAACACAAAGTGTTTCAGTTGAGCATGAGAGTAGTCTCCATATATTTACGACTTTTATCTGCCATTTAAGCACCCAAAATTGATTGGAGATATTGATAAGTGCTGAACAGGCTCTGATCTGCTGCAGAGCCTGTCCAGCATCGCATTTTTCGGCCGATGGGCGCTTATTTAAGCGTCACATGACACAGAGTCACACAAAGTCACAAACACTGTATTTTGCACATTTCTCTGCACATAGCATAGGGCCCGCGTGGCTCAGCGGCAGAGTTGCGTGGAGGGTTCACTACCCTTGTAGTAGAACCGCGGGTTCGATTCCCGCCGGGCCCACCCTTGTTCATGCCGCAATTCCTTCCACCACCACTCCTTATCTCTCCATCTTCAACCATCGATTATCCGGGACCAGCCGAAGAAGACACGTGGAGCCTGCGATGGGACCGAATCAGAACCAATTGCACAGCGCCGCCTGAAAACTGTAGGGCGGACCGCGAAATTGCATACCCCGCCAACCAGTTGGGGCGGTGGAATTTGCGAGGAGTGGGAACGCGCGGGTGGATTCCCGTTAGCGTGACAAATGCAGTAACCACGTTGGGGAGTACTAGGCCGTGGAAGCGGAGCGATCAGAAATGACCATATCCCTTCCCATTCACGGAGTTGACGGAGGTTGGGACGCCGGGTATGATTGTGGGGGTCTTATGTAAAAATAGAAAAAGACAGCAGTGTTTGTGCGCTTAAGTGTTCGCCTGCCCACTGGATAATCTCAGAATTTCATCATCTGCACATAGCATAGCAAGATATGGCATAATATATATCATTGGAATCAGCATCTCAAGGACTATATACTGAGATATAGATTGAAGACTCATGTGACACATAGTAGATGATATTCCCCTGTCAATCATACTATACCATAGCCTGCACAGAAAATACTGCAGTGTCCTGTCAAATGTGGATGTTGAAGGAGGTGACACTGATATCAAACTGTAAGCATTGACATTGCTCACTATAAAGACTTGGAACTTGATAATGACCATATTGATGAACTGTTATTTATTGCCACTACCCATAGTGATGCTTACAATCTGGAAGATGACACTGATGATATAACCATAGCTTCTACATTTCTGAGTGAATTGAGAAGATTGAACCTTGTATGAATACAGAAAGAACACACTCACATTGTGAGCATAGAGCAGCTTCAATGCTAACATTGCTTCAAGAACTAGCTAAGCAGCAAGTGCCTTTGCATTGTGGGTGTGTAGCAATGACAATTGTCTGACTAATAGAATAACTTACTAGGACTTCTGAGCTTTCCAATAATGACCACTCTTAGCTGTATATTTGGATTGTAGAGAAATCTCAGACAGGCTATACAATCAAATATGCAAAAAGGTTCTACAGTATATGATTAAATGCAGTGCTGCATTGCTCTCTGGGGCTCTCTACACAGTATTATCTTTATTGAAAGAGTATATTCTGCAGAACACAATCCATCAGATTGAAGATACCTCTATGGCAAATGTTATTCAGAAATGATAGACATAGAATCAGAGACATTATTTTTACTACAATACATGGACTATAACAATATGCAACTCATCAATCGTTTCTGCCAGAGATTGGCCCACTTCAAACCAAGTGACCTATAGGTATGTCTGATCCGTGCTCACCCCTACTGTGCGATAGCACGAGTTCCTGTGACCGCATCAAGTCACAAGTTTGCAGGAGGGTCACTGGCAGTGCACCCGACCAACACTCCAATTGGTGCACGGAGATCACGCCCCATTCCCGAGTTATAAAATGTTTCTACTTTTGCCCAGTCCCAGGATTGAACCCTCGCACTTTTGAGCGCTTTTGCCTTGTCATTTTTCTTCATTGATTTTCGGCGCCTTACTGCGCGCACAACTGTACAGTTCTTTCCCACGATGTAGTGCGCACTGCAAACTTCCTCCTCGTCGAGCTCTGGCGTCCTTAGACTTCACAGAGCTCGACCTAGGTGGGTGTTATTGTCATCTGCAATATATTAGACTTCACAGAGCTCGACCTAGGCCATTGTGACTGCTCTGAGGTGCCCTGCAGCCAACAGGTTATGAGCCCTGCGCTCTGACACCCTCCAGACGTCCATCCCTGCCTGTTCAACGCTCTCAAGACCTCATCCTGGTCCCCATCCATCTCTTCCTTCTCTCTGCTTGACTCCTTCTCTCTCTGGAACTCTCTGCTTCATCTTTCCTCGATATATCCTGCAGTTTTCATCTGTTCGCTTCGTCTTTTTGCCAGCCCATCGCGCGCCATGTCACCAACCCACACCCATGGCGCCATCTGCACCGATCTTTCCCAAGCTCAACAATCACAACTACCAGCAATGGAAGCTCAACATGGAGGGCCGAGGCCAGGCTTCGCACTCTTGGTGCTCTGCGCATTATGCAGGGTATTGAGTCGAGGCCTGCATTTGTCAGCCCTATCAACGCCAGTGAGCATCACGATCTGCGCGATTTTGACAACAGGGTGGACCTGGCAGCTGGGGAGATCTGGACATGTGTGGAGGTGAGCAAGGTAGAGAGCTGATAAGAGAATCCAGTGAGATCAAGAGCACATCTGGATGGCTGAAGCTATGTGAGGATACCTATATGAAGCCTGGAAGATACAGCAAACAGCATGACAATCCATAAGGTTCTGAGTCCACAATGAGCCAAACACTGCTAGAAATGTACTGAGTGTGTTAGGTCCAGAACAGATGCTATAGACAGCTTCATCCCCTGATATTTTCCACATCAGAGGATAAATACTGGATGATGTTTCTCCCAAAGTTGTAGGCCAAAATACTGAGATGCCACAGAGCTACTAGAGGATTGATGGAAATGGGGTCAGGAGGAGAGGGTCAGATAATCTCTACAGATTGGGGTGATCAGGGTACCATTGGAAAGCCCTGCTCAATGCCAATTCAATGGTGTATAGTAAATTGCACATCACCCACACAATTCCAAGATATCAGGCAAACAATAGTATAAAATTTTGCAAAAATGTGTTGTGCCATATCTCAGCTGCTACTCCATGTCATACCATGATATAGGGTGCATTGGAAAGCTGTGATTTTTCCCCATCTAACAGTACCCTGTACATGAAATATAGATCAGTGGTTCCCCCAATGTACAGCAGACAGTAAATAGTAGTAGCTACATACAGCTGCACATACCACAATTCTGAGCACTATCTTCTGTACATTACACCATTGAATAGAGGCTAAAAGTGCGAACCTGCACCCACATACAGCCCAATTGGTGCAGATTTGAGGGAGCTAGAGGGGAGGCAGGCAGATAGCCCCCTATAGGGTCACCTACCGCTTATGGGCATCAAAAAAGCGCCCAAACAGTGCCACAACATTAGATAAGCACCCCTACTATCCCAGGAAAGCCATCAACATCACCCCAATATGGATTCTGACAAGTGGTCAGAAAGCTACAAGACTAGCTACAAGTACACACAGATGTGACAAACTGTCCTAGAGCGGATTCTGACAAGTGGTGGAAAAGCTACCAGACTAGCTACAAATGCACACTAGGGGTGAGCACGGATCAGACATACCTATAGGTCACAGTCTAGGTACCTGTGAAAATACCTGTAAGTTCGGATCAGTGCGGATCTGGATCAGTGTGGATCTTGATCTGTACGGATCTGGATCAAGAAAATATATTGATTCTTCTCTACAAACATACTTGATTTGTTGAGAAACACATAAATATGCATCCTTGGAAAAAAGACCTATAGGTACCTGTAGGTACCCACACTAAATACCTATAGGTTTGGGTTTTGACGGATCTGGATCAGAGGGTCTGAAGTGACCATTACCTGTAGGTAGAGAGCTGTAGCTCTCTAGATCAGATCCGTGCTCAGCCCTAATGCACACAAATGTGACAAACTGCCCTAGGGCTATTTTTAACAAGTGCAGCCCATTCTGACAAGACCTTGTTACAAATGACATGAGGTGTGTTATCTCGGGCCCACCAAAAGTCACAATGGAGCACCACAGGTCTGGGGGTTTGTGATACAAGTATGGAGCCTACAGGTGCTAGGTCAAAACGGTCGGTTACCGCCTCCCGATTGACCTGGAGTTGGGTTCCCTTGTTTATGGCCGGATGTCTTGTAGGGTGGTTTACTCGTTTCATCCCGAGGTATTGACTTCTGTTTACCTTTGTCCACAGTAGTTGGTTTCAAGTTACCATTGCTACTGGTGGATGCAGTTCCAGGAGTTTGTTGTGTCATGGTGGCGCGATGTGTTCTCATATGAGATAATGCTTCTTCTATCTCCTTGGCCTGGTTAACAAACTCGGCAAAAGTGTTTCGTCATCGGTGGAGGCCTCAACCTATTATTAGGTGCTGTTCGATATGAGATGGTAGGGAGTCAACAAACTTGGTTTGAAATGGGCCATAATGGCAAAAACGATTGATGAGATTTTGGTATATCACTGTTTGTAGTTTGTACACAACCTGTTTTTTTCATCCAACTTGCCTGTCTAACTAAGGTTTTCTATGTTCTTCCTGAAAGCATATGCTATTGTTACAGTCTCACTAATATCACAAATAACTAACTGCCACAGCTAGTAATGAATAATATTATGGCACTCAAGTGAGCCTCAAGCAGTGAAGCAAACTGATAAAGCATTTGAATTAATGCTTCTGCTACCCAATTATTCAATGCTGTTCTTGACTTGCTGATGAAGTTGATGACTGAACGACTAATGCAAAATCTCTTTTTAAGATGCACATTTGAAACAGTCTCTGGATATTCCTCTATAGTCATGATTGAAATTGTATACATTCAATCACACTAACTCAAATTTTCAGCATAAATGCATGCATATAACCTTGTGTGTATAGCTGTATAGCACCATCAGATAGAGCTCATTTTGTGATCTTTATAACATATACTATCATATTTTTGGTAAGCAAACAAAAGTAATAGACAGTGTCTACTTGTTTGTAAGCCAGCATTATATGCAAATATTACATAAGCAACTTGTAAAAGACTGCCTATTAGATGTGCTTCTAATGATATATAACAAGTCTATATATACATAGAGATATAGTGGCATAGAAGCTCACTTGAAGCACCAGTCATGTGAGCGCAAAATAAGTGCCTATCGGCCCCAGAAATCCGAATGGTCACGGTTTCGCTTGCAAGCGAAGCCGCGACCAAGTGCTATTTTTAGCCAACTGACGTTGACCTGTAGTGGGACACATTGTATAAACACTGTTGTGGCCATATCTCAGCCAGTTCTTATCCAAATATTATGAAAGTGAACTCATTTTGATGGCATTTAATAGGGCTATCA